GAGAGAGAGAGAGAGAGAGAGAGAGAGAGAGAGAGAGAGAGAGAGAGGATCGAACGAAAAAGAGAGAGTGACGAGCCGACGACCGGTTGACTAGATAGATTCTTCTCGGTATCCGAGACACGCTTCCAACAGTTCCAACGGAATTCCCGATCAGTTTTTCTTCCCTCGGGCGAAGGAAAAATTTCCGCGATCGAAAGAACGGAATTGACGCGTCGGTGCGAGCGGGAAGGAAAAGGCGACCGATGAAGCCAAACGGCGAAGAGATCGAAATGTACGGAGAAGAGAAAGGGATAAGGAAGCTTCAGAGACATGAGATGATGGCGAGGAGTCGCGCGCGGAAAAGAAAATTTCGCGCTCCGCGGCATACTGATCCCTTTTGACGTGCGACTTCGTCGTGGGATTGTGCGCTCGTATATTCCTTTCTTTCCTCTGTCGCAACCCCGTGAATTCTGTGTCGGATCTCCCGAAGATTGTCGGAATTGCTGGAAAGGTTCGGGGAACTCCCGTACTCACCTATCGCTGACTCGATGAAAGTCAGGATTACCTGCACAAGTGCTCCAATTCGTCTTCGGTCGTAGAACAATCGACTGCAACGGGCTTTACGTCCGCGGCGTTCTCAAATGGAACTTCTGTTGGCGTTACGTGACGGGACTTATGAAAGAGAAGTCTATATTCGGTACGTCAAATTTTCCGATATACCCCACCACGCGAATTTCTTATATTTACAGCGCCGCAGTGCTGAAATTTGAATTATTTTTTAAATGCCCGTATTCAGATTTATATATCTTAGAGGTAAATACGTTAAATAGTTTTCAACAGTTTTCAATACATAAAATAGAATTTTTCAATCGCGTTTATTGAATTTATTAAAACAGAGATTTACAAATTTTATTTATATCAAGAAAAGTAAGATTGTGATGATTGTCAAAAAGCGCACTTGTGAAAGAGGAGACAATACGACAAGAAATAACCGATAAGGCAACCTACGTACAACTTCCACCGCAACTTTTTAGTAGAAAGTATCTTCTGCTTTTATTTCTTTAGCACTGAACATCTGAACATCACGTGTCTGAACATTGCGGAGGTGCTTCTTCCACGGGTATAAACTCGGGAAAAATTTGTCATCGCGAGTTAGTATCTAACTTGGTGATCCTTGGAACGCGGACGAGCAACGTGACTTCCTTCATCGTCGTGCGCATTGCGCGAGATCTTCGTTCCCTTTCATTCTCGGCTTTCCCATTCTCCCGCCCGTCTTTTCTCTTTCCGCTTTGCGACGAAATATCCATGAAGATATTCAACGCATCCGACATTGTCGGATTGTACTGCGAACTTTGTCGGTAGCATGAAGTGTACCTATAGAAATTATCATTATCAAAGTTGAAAGAGAATACAAAGCACGAAGAACTGTCACCATAAACGAAATGCTGTTGGTTAAGTTGAATCACAGTATCCATTACATCGTTGTAGCAGAAACCTAACAGTTAAAATTGGCGTGTTTTTAAGCAATTCTTAAGAAATTTACAATTTTAAGAATTGATTTTCCAAAAATTATAATACAAAAAAGAGACGAAAGAATTAATTTCATTTTCTATTAAGAAACAATTCAACGATTAATTAAAAATTAAATTAAATTTTTTAAATTAAAAATTTAAAACATTTTTAGGATATATAAATATTGTTAACAAAAAAGTATAATAAATTTCGGACTTTATATTGTTACAATAACATATTAATATTAATTCGAATAAAAGAGGAAATTATTGCGACATTCTGAAAGGTATCTATATTATTTCTTTCTTTAGAGGAAATTTACAATGTTTCCAATATGGAACGGAATAACAGCGTATTTTCTATTCGGCAATATACCGAAAAATTCGGGACGTATGATCCTCGTAAGTAGCAGTAATACCAGTTCAAGGATGTCGTGTATCCCGACTGCTGCGCCTGTTGCGGGCGTAAATGCATATTTACGTCGAATATTGGCCGTTATTGGCAGGTTGGCTGAATGTCGATAACCTGAGCGATGGCCCATAACGGGTGAATGCCAGCGAATCGATTAAATAAAGTCACGAGTTACTATCGGGTGCGACGGGTTGAATGCAAAAAAACAGGGAGAGACTCGCCAGAGTGTACATAATATGAAAATACATGTAAATGTAACGCATGATATCGTAAACAATCATGACAATTCGAATAATGACACGCCGTGTGTGTTCAATATATACGCTGCTGCGCTCGAAATGTTGAACGATATAATACCCGCAACACTTGTTCCGTATTTATTATAATATGAAATACAGATCTTCGATAATTTATGCTTTTATATTCATATCATTTTATATAACAAACAGCGAAAATTATATACTGAATGAAACGTTGCGCATGCTGTTTGTAATAATTTCTCCAAATTCCGAGATATAATTTTTCATTACAGCATTTTGCAGTTATAAAGTTTTCTTATTAATAACATGTATTTTCTTTTGGCACATTACAGAATTGCCTCTGGCGACGGACTCGATTTCGACGAAATCGACGACGGCGGCAAAGCGATCTGTGCCGACGGATGCACCAATGCTGAACTACATCTTTGACACGCACAGCACTCTGAACAAGCATCAGCATCATCACGATCACAAATGGGGCCCTCACTTCGAAGGCGAGAGCTCCAACATTACGGTGCAGGCTGGTGCTAGCGTCACGCTTGATTGTAGGATATCGTTGCTGCAGGACAAAACCGTAAGCATGAAAACGCACACTCAGTCATTCTGTTCGCTCCTTCCCCTTCGTGCCTGGTATCTGGTCGCCCGCAGCTTTTAATCACTGCTACAAATGCACAGCGCAATAATTCACGACTAATCTCGGAATATTTTGCCTTATTACACCCCGGGTAAGCTACGTTTAGCTTATTATGATTAATCTGCGAGCGCGCTTGTACATTTTATACTTCAAGGAACGAATTTAAGGAGAAATTCGTGTAATCGCTACTGGCGACCCGGTTATTCATATGTGTAATCTGCACATAATAATTCAGCAATAAATCTCTGTTCCTTAACTGTTACTTAGTATAAAGTTTTCTCCATTACTCGATATCATTTAATCGTATATCTTATTAAATGTACAAAGAGTTTCGAAGATAAGCGCATGTAATTTTAATTGGACAATGATATTTTAATCTCGATTTTTGTAATAATTAGAAAAATTTATTATAATATACAAAGAAAATAGCAACGACATTTGATCTACTATACAAAATTACCTCATATATATAAAGCTATGATGACTTTATATATTCCCAAGTACTACTGTTCATTTATTGCTGTAATACAGTTACAAACCATTCCCGCATTATCCACGCCCCAAACTATAGAACAAATTATGCGGTCAGATATCGGTTGTGCGCGCATGAATCTCTCTAGCGCTTGAACAGATAATATCCTGTTACCTACGTAGCAGGAATTTATAATATAGCCAACTAATATCGTAAACTCACAAATTATATAAAGGTAAATATTTGTTTGCACAAGTTAAAAAATTTTTTTTGAACTTTATGAAAGTAATTTAATTTTTTTTTAATTTTATTAACAACATAAAGTCTAAAAATTCGACTAATAAAAAGTCTATACTTACTTGATCAAAATAATTTTTTGAGAAGTATAGGTAATTCTTCATATTCCTTATTCCTAATTCTTTATTATCTGATAGATAGGTAGATAGATTTAACTTAAATGATTTACTAAATATACAGCTTCAGCAGAAATATATTTATTAAAATAAAAGAGATACATTAATATAATGTTGTCATACTTTTAGGTATCTTTCTTACTTTTAGATAAAATAAATATTACCACACTTTCGAGAAAAGCGAAAGTTATAAATCGATGGTAATTTGTATCTTTATATACGATATCGAACACACACAATAAATGTGCATATATCTCCAAAGCACCGATAATACCCGATTAGCTTTCGTAGTTCCATATAGAAGATGTATGATATTACATACATTTAATGGAACATTCGGTAACATGTTATTCAGTTTCAGTTACGTGGATAAACTACATTCTCTACTTCATATTCGCTATGTCTTAATCTGATTTTGATACAGCTTGTAGAAATCGATTAATCGTTTCACTTACTGTAAATTTATATTGCACAATCCAATTTAATCGCAAATCACACGTTCTTTATAATAAAGAAAAAAACAAAACTGGAAAGAAATATTGTATCTATTGGAGAAATATTTGTTTTATATAATTATTATTAGAGGAATATCTATTTAATCAAAACGTAAACTCAGAAAAACAAGGGCCTTATTTTCAATCAGCTAATCGATTATTATCTTATCGATTAGCTGTTAAATGTTTATTAGCTCTATTAAATGTTTTTCGATTTATTACAAAATTGCAGTAGAAATAAGCCAGAGTTGTGAAAATAAAATATTGTCAGAATATTTTTACGAAGCAAAGATAGTAGTACGGTACAAATATGCTCGCATATATAAAACGCATACACATGAGAATTGTCGGTAGAATCGGAAAAATCCGCACACGAACTATTGTCTGTACACCTGTTGATATTTTTATACGCGATCCTTGTGTTGACTGGCGGCTAGACATTTGAATCGAAAAAAATATTCGCATCTGTCTTCGGTGACCACAGATACAGTTGTGTCATATTTGTACGAACATTAACGTTGTAAAAGAGTTTGTAAAGATATTAATAAAAACGAGCCAACCACGGTGATGTTCTTATGGAAAAGTTTCTCGAATGCAGCAATCACGTTCAAGGAGAATCATTTTGTATTTTCAGGTATCCTGGTTGCGACGACAGGAGAGCAGCGAGAAGATGAGACTACTGACAGTCGGCCAGCAGACGTACACGGGCGACTCGAGATACACCATCGAATTTCAGTACCCGGACAACTGGCGTCTGCGTATCAAGCGTGTTAACAGCAGCGACGAGGGCCAATACGAGTGTCAGATCAGTACCCATCCACCAAAGTTCATTTATGTCAACCTACACATTAACGGTAAGTGATAACGTGCCCTAACGACCTTTGCCTAGCGTCAACATCGGGACAGTAATGTTGATAACGACGATGACGTCTTACTGAACCATATATGCTTCGTGAGAGTAAGATTTCCGCACGTTTCTAGTTCACGTGCTCGCTTTGAATAGATTTCACGCAGCGCTCTCTTTACACAACTCGGATTTTAAATTCCTCGTAGAGAATGTCATTTGTAGATTTTTCTGAATGAACTCTTTTTGAGCAATTTGACGCAATTGTTTTAGCCTCTTAAAAGAAGCGGAGCAAAGAACGAACACTCTTCTCTACTATTTACTTTCTCTCAAGCTTACATGTCTTTTTCTTCCGTTTCACACTTTTTTGTTCCACCCTCGTCGTGTCTGGGACGAACTTAATGTAGCATTTATACGAACAAAGGAAGAATGTATTTAAAAGAGATTTTAAATAGTTAGAATGATTGTAATTCAAGTTTTTACTTTGTCTTTCAAACAAAAGACTTGATAAAACGTAAAAAACTATATGTATATTTTAAAACAAAGATAATGGAATTGCTTATATGTCTATTTGAAATAAAACTTTTTGAAAATAAAACGTAGATAAATGAGAGAATTGAAACAGCACTGATTAGAATGAAAAACCGAGACACTTTTCTTAAATCCTACCTTTCTTCAATGCCACCTTCGCGCTCATTTGAATTAATAAGAGAGCAAAGAAAGAAGAATTTTTATCTCCCGGTAATACCTTACGATTCAATATGCTAGCGACAGAGAGTAGACGAGAAGAAGAGAAACTCAAATTCCGCAGTTCTGCGAGCGATCGGACAAATTGCCTCCGTCTGCAATGTTCTTGCGGTGGAGATCGCTTAAAAGGATAATTGAAAACGAAGTGCCTTGTAGTCGAGACGGACGGGAATAGAGGAAAGAGAAAATCCACGGTCCGTTCAGTTCGGAAGGGCGCGGCGCGCGGCGGCGGTGCAAAGCGGAAGAACTTCATCTCGTTGTAGTCCGGTAATCGAGGTGTGTCGAGCAATTCGGCGAAATGAGGCTGTATAAGGGTGAAGTGGCAGCTAGACGGAGATCTGGAGCGAGAAATGGACAACGGAAAATTGTAAACGGCGGAAAGATTTTAATTAATGCGAGAGGAGAAATTGCGTAATTTTAAAGTCTAACGGTGGACAATAAGGGCGCGCCGTAAAAACATAACAGTCGGCATTATGAAATAAGAATAAAGCTCGACAACGGGTATACGTTTATTAAAAAGTCGCGAAATTGTAGCTCGAAGAAGTACCTACAAAATATCCCGCACGAATCTGTACGATGTACGCGATTTCAAAGTATAAAATTAATATGATTATATTCTCTAGAACACCTTTTCTAATCAAATAAAATATATTTTAAATTCCAAACTATAATACGGTAACGTGCATAGAGAGACTAAAAAAATTCTAGAAAGTCTAAGTAAAGACGTACGGACGTAACTTTCGCTAAATCGTATAGAATTGCGGGGTTACGATAAAAAAAGGCAAGAGTCTTCTCTTTTACTTATTTCCCGGTTTGCTCGCCTTTGCCGATGTGAGATTATATCGTAAGCTTTCGTTTCTACGGGATAAGACGACGTAGCTTCTTCGCGTTATAGCCCAGAATCTCCTAACGCGAGTTCAAAGGGATTATCTACTTAAAGTCCCTTGCACTTATCCTCGTAGCATTCCACCATTCTCCGTAATTTGTCGAAATAATTTCTGCGGTGTGTGCGACGTTCGTCGCGATCGCCTTGAAATACTGCTGCGCGTATTTACATTAAAATAAAAGTTTTCGCAAATGATTATCTTATTCTTCCATTTTGATAGTGTGGGCGACGCGAAGATATTAGCCATTTATTTCGCGCTTTTTATCGAGTACCGAGGTATCATTCGATATTCGTACAATTAAAGTTTAATCGTTTCACCCTGTTGATACCTCTTTGTGCGCGAGCTTTCACGAGGTCGTTTGTAACGCGGTCCGAAAAGTCAAATGCCGTTGAAAGAACGATATATCGTCGAACCACGCATTCTCATTGGCCCCGGCAACCTATTCTCTTTCTGTATCTGTTCAACTTTGAAAGTCAAATTACGGTAAACACAATTGTCCATTGTGCGAATCTTGCAAACGCGTTTTATCGATGGATCTCGCGCCGTACGATAATTAACGCAGGAGATATGAATGCGTCCTCCCTGACTATTGTTGCGCGTTCCAATCAATTATCAGTGCTATTTTTTGAACAGAGTGGGATTTCTGTATGTGTGAATAGATATATTCAAATAACGTAAATCAATTGATCTTTTGAATATAAAATTATTGTATTATTATAATTCTTTGTTCTAAAACTCATAATTATTTATAATTAGTATGATACAATATATAAGTACCGAAAAATTAACTCTACTACTATGAACATAATTTGATGACATGAGAATGTTCTCATGATCGTCCATGTAAAGAAAAACGTAAAACAAGTAAACTCACAATTCTGGACACTATCGGTGGTTTATATTTAAAGAACGCTAATATTGTTGCTATGCTGGAACGAATGTACGCAAAAGGAAGGATCAACACTTAATCCGTGAGGATGAGATTCCGCAAGATAAAGTAGCCGAGATTTTGGTATGCAGTACTACTTCCTCGACCTCTATCGATCGTTCGTTTTCCTATACACCTGCCGTCGATCTCCTTCTCTGTCTCCGCTCTACCAATTTAGTCGACGCGTGTTCCTCCTACGATATTAATAAAAGAAGATGTTACGATGTTAACAAAAGAGTGCACAAGCTTCACGAGTGGGATGCAATCTCTAATTTGCTTTTCGACTCTTGAAGCAATAAGAGCAGGGTAGATGTGTCTAAAATTCAAATGTAACAGCGAGAAAGTTTCAAGTTCTTTGTTCTTTGCTAAGGTTCTATTGCTCACGCATTTCGTGATGAAAGTAAAATATAAACGAAAATTTTAGCGTCCCACTAAAAATAATTTTATTTGCCTATATATATATAAATTTTATTTGTCTAATATACATTATAATTATACATAGATAGGTATTCCTACAAAGTATTCAAACATTGTTGTTCTGGTATCTGCTCGGAGTTCTATTATTTGTATTATTTGTATTAACTGCAATTACATATGGTAGCTCGAAATTTGCAAATGTTAACGTGAAATTATCAGGTAAGGAAGAAAGAAAAGGAAAAAATAAGCGAAAAACATACTTATTTCCGGATACAGTGGTAGGATGGGGAAAATTTTGTATCGTGTTGCGAAAAAGCATGCGAAATAAAATGCGGCATACCTCAGATGGAGAGCGCGTAAAAAGAAAAAGGAAAAAAAACGGGCGAAAGAGAAAAGGGCGAGCGCGGGAGAGATTACATTTCGCGCGGTATTCATGAGGTCGAGTACCAGGTCGGCGAGAGAACACTCTGATCTATCTCCAAAACGTTTCCCTTTTTCGTGATTTCTTTCGGCAGCCGTACGTTACTTAGTTTTCGTGGCCGCAATATAGCCTATATCCGTAGAGGCACCGATTGGAAATGGTCCAGCTGAACGGAAGACGCGAATGAATCGGTTTGCTCGATCGCGTTTGGTACTCGATCGTGTGGACAACCCAATGACGTCAATATGAGAGATATTTATTGGGCCATAAAGTTAAATATTTGAAGCCGAGTTCGATGTAATCCAATATCACGCTCGTGTGTACGGCCGAATTTCATGATGCGCATGATTGCCACGGCGAGAGATCGACGAACTCGGCAAATAGTACTAATTGCGTTAGAGTAAGAATCTCGCAAGTAATCTCTCCGTAAGAACAAAATTATATTGCAATTATCTGCGGTAATGATTACGACAAAAATATGTGGCGATGAATAAAAGTGGTACTATACTCGTGAAAGTAAAACTCATAAACTTCAATTCCGATATTCAGTTAATTAGCTTCATCTGTCAATTAATTTTTTCGACGCTGAATAATAACAAGCGAAGTCTATGAAGTTTGAGAATTTACAAAACTGTACGCAATTATAGAATAGATTATATGACAGTCTGATTGAAACAAGAGATAATATAAAGAACAATGTGGAAAAATCGGAAAAAGAAAAGGAAGAAAGAAGATCGGATATATCAGAAGTTAAGAATAGGTTGAAATGTGACTTTTCAAATGAAAAATAACTTTCCGATAAAAGTACGACGACATGCTTCGTACGTAACGTATTAATGTGTAAAACTTTCGCGCGAGCTGTAAAACTTTGATATTTAAACCAAATGTAGTATCTTTACTTTAATGTGGTGACACGAAAACTTCTTGTAAGAGGATAGAAACTTTAAGTCGACGACGTGCGCTTGGAAAGCTTTGAATTGGCTGCGACATGCCCAATTTTTTTCTCATTGACCGAAATTATGGCTTCATAATGTAGTCAAATGTTTACTACGCGAAGAGATATTGATGCACTTGAAAAGTGTATTAATTTTACGTTCTCTTTCTGGCTGGCAGAAGATATTATCAAATTAGAGTTATTTTTCCGAGTCCTTCACGCGATTGCCGGTCGAAAAATAAGACTCGCTGATAAATCTTACTTTTTTTTTATTTTCAGCACCGTCCGTCCAAATAGTGGACGCCCTGGGCGAACCACTGCGGGACAAGTATTATGAAGCGGATAGCACCATCGAACTACTATGCGTCGTGCGTCATATAGCGATGCAGGTGCAGTACAGCGTCGTCCAATGGCTCCATGGCAATAGAGTCTTGAACTACGATACGACGAGAGGCGGTATCAGGTAATTCGAAGTTTTAAATAACCCGCTCTTTTCTTTATACCGCTTAATATAAGCTGAAAGAATTGAAGACGGTCCTCACTGTCTAATCTCCTCTTTACCGAGCTTTTATATTTTTAAGCTATTATTTTTCGTTCGCTTTTCTTTTGCATCAGAACTGTTGTTTATTATAATATAATATACTTTATTATATAATATATTATATAATATAATATATTTATTAATATATTATATATATTAATATAATATATTAATAGTTTATTATAATATAATATACTTTACACAATATATCAATATACGTATCAAAGTAATGTATCAATATATTTTATCTCATAATGCCAATCGCAATCGTGAGAATATGGAAATGTATAATTTTAAATTAGTATTGTTATATAATATTTATGATACAATTATACGCTGCGCCGGAAATGACGTAGGTGCGAAGAGGTCTTTAAGCTTAATAGCTCTATTATTCGAAATTTGCTTGCGCAAAGTCATTCTCGCTCGAAATGCTTCTCGGCAAATATGAGAAATGCATAATCTAAATGTCGGACAAACTTGACGCGGTTATGCGAGCAAAGTGTAATTAATTCACGAAACTTTTCCTTGTTTGACAGGCATTTACGCGCGGTTGAAAGACTCTGTGTCAACTTTCCCGCAGAAGCGACCGGGAAAAGTCAAATCTAGATCGCGCGCATGTACATAATTCTCGGCTCTTTGTACGTCTCGCCCCAGAACGTTTCTCGCGGAACGTTAAAAAAAAACGGCTCGCTCTTCCCTCGTCTCTCTCGCGGATTATATATTATTATAGATTCCTGTGCAACTTGGCTGGAACGGTAGAATTTTAAAGAACCGATTCCGGAGCATAAGAATTCATTATTCGCGATCCGTATAATAGCGGAGAGATTCGCCGGCTCGTTCAACTGTCGCGCTGAATAAAACTCACGGCGGAAATAAGAAAAAGGCAAGAGCGACACGCTGTCATATTAAGCTTCGTTAATATATAGTTCGTTCCATATCGTTCAATGAGATGTGAGATATGGGATATAAAACATTCCATTATGCAACGTATTCCGGTCGTTTCACACGCCCCGTTCGAAAGTCGTGTCCGAAAATTTCGGACGAAAGTCGGGGAAAAAAACTCGCGAAATTTCATCCCATTTATACGTTGTCGCATATTCGCATTTTTCTTGTCTCGTCCAGTGTTACTTTGTTAAGTATGATAAATGATGTAATTTATCATGTTGAATATATGCTCATAGCTGCAATCTCGAAAAACGAAACGAAATGAAAACCTGACGTTCGCGAGAGATGTGAATTTGTAGTAATGTACTTACACGTCTTTGACAGCTTATTTATTTTATTGCTATTAAAAGCAGTAAAATTTCAGAATTCTCTTTTATAACACCGAATTATTACAATAGACAAAGAAAATATCATGCTATACATCAAGATTTATTAATAAAGAAAGCCATTTTTTTATATTTTGTAAATTACTGATTAAAAGAACCATTACAAGGACCATAAAAATGTTTTATCTTTTATATGCATATACAAAAATTATATATGCATATTTCATAAACTGTAAGCTTTGAGAAAACTGCATGGTTTTCTCGGATAATACTGAAAATTTGCACTTTTTATGAAACTTTTTATGAAACTTTCATAAAGCTTCTCGGGAAATTTATATTCGTATATCATGACAGCACTGATGTGCAAAATGTCATCGCTTCCAGCCTTTTTGCTCGCGATTTCTCGGGCCAGGATACAAGAACATCCCCGAAGGACCCGAAAATACGTGCCGGTAGAGTGCTCATACGGAGTTACATGGTGGTTGATGACAGCAGCCGCGAGAGTTAGGATGGCGGCGTGTCGACGAGAAAGGTTCCAATGTTCGGGGGGGCCGGTTCTTGGTCGAGACCGACGCTTCCGTGGGCCCGCCCTGACAGTAAAGTTAGGTGCCGGTGAGACACGGCGGGACAGTAAATGAAATTAGTTTGCGTTGCGCGCTTCTGTACATACGACGACTGTATATACACGAGGTCGTGGATCCCGCTGCGAGAACAGAATAGCGTCCCTCTGCGATCTGCCTGGCAACTGTACGCTACTGTACGGTACTGACGCTAAATATTTTGCCGTCCGTGACGCATTAAAAGTATTAATTAACATCTTTCTAAATTTTATAAAAGAGATAGTTAGAATTACCTCTAGAATTAGAATCTCTCGGCTATTATATCTCTCGAAATCGTTTCTATCATCTCTATCAGCCGTGAATTTTCTCGCTGTCGCGATAATTTTTTTTAAATTCGTATTAGTATACTTTAATGCTCGTCGTATGAACCAAGTTCGAATGTGTGTTCCCGGCCGATCGTGCTCAAATTTTATTTTTTTCCTCCCTTTTTTTCTCTCGCTCGCTCTCACGCGGGACATTCCGTGAACCGCAAACCCAGCTGCGCAAACCGTAAACACGTTGCACATGAAACTGCTGCATAGCACTTGTTTTCCCAATGCAGCGGCGTCTGCAGTGACGGGAGAGCAAGAATTATTGCTATCTCGCTTAATTTAACCTTTCATTTAATTAAATCACCCGACATCTATCTGGTTTCCTCTGTTCCCCATAATTTAACAATGCGTCGCTGATGATCTCGCGCTTTCAGATATGTCTACATCGATTATCAACATTGCGATACCTTGGAAAAATTACTCAGGAAACAGAAAGAGAAGAGAAGTTTTCTATCAAACATATAAATTAATTCTTTATCTTTAACAACTAATTATCTTGTTCTTACAGCACTATACAAAATATATAATCACTTTTTTCTGAATTATATATCTATGTTTCCAAATTATTGAAATTTATATATAAAAATGCAACATAATTTACTAAATTACTACCGAACATTTTACGGAAACAAAGCACAGAAAATTTCCCGTTTAACTTAAATATTTTCTTAAAAGGAGTGTACATACATACACTTTTGGGCGTTGCTATAAAGTAGCGTTATAACAACGACCCGAGTTAATCGTTAATCAAATTATTTGCGAACGGTATCCGGGGCTAAAGGTAAAGTGACAATGAATTTATAGCGCTTAACATCGCGTTTAATTCATTAAATTACAGTAGGACTCTTGACGGCGTAACGATCATCGAATGGAAGGGGAAGTGTACGGTGGAAAATAGCATTTTACGCAGTGTCAAATTACATTAAATTTTCGGGATTGTAATTAAACCTCCGGTTACGACGGCGATAGTAATGCACAAAGCGTGGCCCGTAGTTGACCGGCGTTAAATCGAATTTTCCGCGCCGTCGAATCAATGTTATGTTTACGATCTATCTTAATTTATTCGCAATGTAGGTTTAACCTGGCCCAATCTGCACCGTGATAAAGGACATATTGCTCGCCTGAACATATTAGCTCTCTCGCGCTTTCATTTTGTCAATGCCGCGGCAATCCATCAAGCTTCCACTGATATTTTTCACCCGCGGTATGAAGTTAAAACAGAAGAAGAGACGTTACCAAAGATACTGTTGGAAACGTGGAAAATACACTGATCTTAAAGTATATATGTATTGCTTTATTTATTTAAGTTCTTATGCGTATCTAAAAGCGTCGGAGACAAAGAAAAAATGCCGTATAAAAACCTACTCTCTGAATAATCTAAAATATTATTTTTAAAATCGCAAAAATAGAACTTGTTGACTTCTGTTGAAAAATTCATACTTGAATGTTTCCTTCAAATAAACATAGCTTTATTATTACTTTTGTAAAGAAAGGATATCTTTTGCCTAAAATATATCCTACAGTATAATATAAGCTACAGTGGATATCATGGCATTTTAAATTCAATTATTATCTAATAATTGTAAAAAGAGTAGCTGTTTCATAAGAATTTCATTTCATGAATATTTTATATTTCTTTGCACATATTATTCTATTCAACTAAAAACTAAAATATGCATAAAAATGTAAAATAAGATGTAATTAATATTTAATTTAATAATAAGCGTATAAATTTCCATTTTACAGTTTCCTACCCGTCATCACACACGAGAACGCTCGCAGATTCATTATTGAACTCATTTTACATAACGAATACGTCCCATGCCGCATCAGCAGAAAGAGCATTCGCTGTGTCGACATCGCGTTGAATGATAAATTGCTAATGCTTATACAGTACCAATGCGTTCGGCTGATTGCGCCGCGAATAAAGAAATAACTAATCGCTTATATAGGGTTAACAGCCACATCAGTTCATCGATCGAAGTAATGTCTCGCGCGATTAATCATCGTTTGCCGGTTGCATTACACGGGCGGTCCGTATTGTCAATTTCTGAGCACTGAGAAAAAAGTAATGTTTATGAGAGTATTTATAAAATGTGCGCGTATATATTATATGTGTGAAAAAAAACTTGGATTTTATGCTTGCTTATATTAAGCTCGTCGACAAAAGGATAAAACAAAGCGTAAGTTTAAAGCGATTATAAAACAAAAATGTGTGTGTGTGGGTTCCTGTAATAAATATTAATATAAACAGTATTTAACTTAATATATAATACCCGATGCTGTAATTATTGTTCCGTAATTATTGAATTCCGCAACTTGGCCAGCTGCCATTTATCATCGCATTAAAATTACGCGAGTCATACGTACAACGAAATTTTCATCGGTGACATTAATCCCATTACTTAAGCCGGTACGCAGCTTTAATTTTATTCGTAAACGCAATAATTAGTAACGCCGGGCAATGTTGAATCTTCCAAAACCACTACTGCGGAATTAGCACAAAAATTACTTACAGCACAGTAATCGTGATAAAAGCGCGCGGCTTCTAAGCACAGCTTATTTAAAGTTATTTAAAGACATAAATATCCACGTTTAACTTTACATTCGACTATGCAATTTTTTGAGCTGATCCCAAGATCCCTGGTAACTACTTTCTTATTTTCATTTCGCATTTCCGTATCGAATTAATTGTAAGAATCCTCTCTCTCACAAAGCTTCTACGTTGCTTCGACGTAGGCGGTGGACCCTCGACGTCGCGAATAAACGAGCGATCGCCTGCCGGTGTTCAACCGGCCGAGGGTAACGAAAGTGACAAATTGCGACGGAGGAACTTTTTCGATTAAAGTCTCGCTTGCTCGGCGCGATTCAAAACCTTTCTCGGTCAAGTTTCCACTTTCAGCGACACGCAACCTAGCATAAATAAGGATGTTTCCTCCGCGAAGGATAGCGAAGCTGGAGTAGCAGCTTGGGGAAGAGCGAGCTTTGTTTCTCTACAGAATTTCACGTTAACCATCGTAGAGTATAGGAGGAACAACGACTATTGAACAACAATTGCAACACATGAGGTCACGTTGTAGGAAAGCCACGAGAGAAAGAGAGAGAGAGAGATGCTTTGCTGCGGAAAATCCTGAACAGTAGCATTCCAATTAAATAAAGCAGTTGCGGCAGCGTGAATCGAATCCTTAATTGGATCCATTTGACAAGATTACCAGTTTAAATGATTCTTTGTGTAACTTTTATCTCTCTCTCGCCCCTTTTTTGTCTCTTTCCCTTCTTTACAAACTCTCAAAAGTTGTAACAAATTATCGCGAACAATATCCATCAGTCTCGTGCGAAAAAATCACGTTGAATTCAGAGCGATTTGACGTAATCGGCCGTTAGAACAAAACATAAAGAGAGAGAGAACAGTTTTTCTTATCAAATAACACTTAGGGAACTTGTATTATTCCCGTAGTACATGGAGTAGCGACAATACGTCCGGGATGGTATTGCCATAAAAGCGCACGCTTTTGTTCCGTGCGGTTACGTCTGTCGCGTACAGAACGCAAAAAGGAAATGCTAAAAATTTCCGCGGTGAAATATTTACCGGGCAAACGTTTGCCGCTGTAGCTGTCAAGTAGCCTTTTAAAAGCGCGAACTGAAAGTCATGTAGAACATAGCTCCAACGCGATCGTCGTCACAGCCGGTGGGATTGTCAGCAAAATTGTTATAACTTTTATAATCGTATTTTTGTTTTTAACTTTGGTCTTTTTCTCCCGCATTTTTTTTACTTTTTTTTAACAAATACCGTTACGATTACATCCAGCTTTGATATTTCGGAAGAGTATAAAAACGTAATTATGATAAAAACTATTAACTGTGCCATCATCCCTCAATGTTTGCCGGTCCGCTGAAACGCCCCGAGTCGCTATTTGCACCTCGTACTCGTACAAAATGCTCGCTCGAACAGTCCCCCTTTTTCCGCTAGTTTCTCACAAAAATAAGAACGTCAAGTACGAGAGCAATTTTCCGCAAGACGTCTCTGCAGCATGCAGTTTCACGCGGAAACCTTTCTCCCTCGAGAAAGCGGGTATATTTCTGTCTGCAATTAGCGCACTTTAACGAAGTCATTGTTTCATTGCATTCTTCGTCCTTCTTTTCAACTTGAAATGCGATTTCGCGAAAAGGACAGGCCTCATTACGGAAACTCCTGCATCCAATGATTTATGCAGATCCAATGTACGGATAATGAATGCCATTTCGTGACGTTAATACGAAATGAATAATAAAGAGATATATGTGGGAAAACGAAATGCTCAGTGAAATTACATTGACGCAAAATATAGTCGCGAAAAATGTCAAGTATTGTTGCATTTTGCAAATTATTTTGAATTTTGTGACTTTTTCTTTTCCAACAATATGCGAGCGAAAAATACAATTTTTCTTAAACTTTTATGAGCAGTACATCATAATAACGTTACTACATGTTCCTCGTATTTACAAAAGTGAGTTCGCGAATTGTTTGTACGAGACTGAAATATGCAATTCGACGCGGTAAAGAAAAAAAAAGGACCGTTGATCAATATGAAGTGCGTTATCAAGGTAGTTCACCGGCTCTGCGCAAATATTTATTCGGCGGAACTTATTATTCGGTCTATTGTTTGCAGAGTAACAAACTGTTCTCGCGGGAGTCGATAATTTCGGCTCGATTTGCAATTAACTTATACCTACCGCGTAAGAAAGTTCGCATAAAAGCATGCGAATGGGGAGCGAGTGTGGTGTGCCGGTGAGAGCAGAGATAAAAAAAAAGGTCGGGGAAAAAGAAAAACGACTCGAGTGATGGAGGATCGGCGATTAGTCAAGACAAAGAAGAAGATGCAAGGGTAGTAGAAAATCGGAGTTCTCGAAAATTGAGGAGGTCTCGTTAGTCTCGGGAGATACTTCTCTTCTTTCGCGCTATTACAGCGTGAGATCTCGCGACTTCACGTTAACAATTTCTATGGAATGTTCCCGAAAATCATATCACCGTGACTGACACATTTTCAACCTTGGACGTTACGTATTAATAGCCATTTAATTAATAGCTTTTTGCGGCAGATGTGATTACCGTAGATATATCAGACTTGTGAAATAAGAATCTCGAATAGATTCTAATAATGCAATGCTGCGCGACAGGAAAATCGAACACACATACATTCATATTGCTTTCAGCAACGTCGTCAAGCACGAAATACGGCGCGTGAGAAATTCTCGTCGGCAAACTTTCGGGGCATTGAAATTTCAACGTGTGTACCTGTTACAGCGTGAAAACGGACCTGATGGAAGAGGGGGCCAATTCGACTCTCAGCATAGCTAAGGTCGGACCTATGGATAGCGGAAATTACACCTGCCAGCTTACCACCATGCCGGACCAACCTGCCACAGTTCACGTGCACGTTTTAAACGGTGAGAATATTTTTGCATTCCTGATATTTCTCGATTGCTCTTTTATGTTATCGCTTTTATCGTCAAAGCGCGTGAAAAGTAACGATGCTGTCATCTCGTTGGTTTAACTTATACAGGACGTATCAAAACTGTTATTGCAAAACTCTTTATATTTAACTTATTATATAACTTAATCGGACAACAAAATGCTCGGATAATCGACCTGGAATAACATTTTGACGTAAAAATATTCATTTATTACATGATATTCTGAGAACGCAACAAAACAAAAATTGTGACTATAATTTAACGGTCTTTTTTATCATCCGTTCTATTTTCTTATTTCTTCTGACTTGTTAATTTACATACTTTTTAGTTAATTTAGTGCAGCTTTTTTTCTATATATACTTTACTCTATCCTGAAACGTATTTCTAAATCAACGAATGCTTCAAAATGATGCTGTAGAAATGTTAATTTATTTACGCGTTAAAATACTAACATTTTACATTTCGCAAACACGTTTATAGAATAAAGACTGCTGGAATTAAGGATACCTCGTGTATACTAAACGTACTAAAACTTGTTTATATTGAAACAGGTAGAACGTTTATTTTCGTTTCTTTGATAGCGCTGTTTGGATAATCGACCATTCCTTTAACAATGTTTAAACAATGGTTAAACAATGTTTAAATAGTACAGGAATTCTATTGTACCACTCTTCTGTGCGTATGCGCGTTCTGTTTCATTTGAAATTGAAATTTGTTTCGAAAAATCTATGGTGAAAATGGTACCTGGTTTTGAAACAGCCTGTGTGGAAACTTATCTCAAACTATTTGGCTGGTTAACATGATACGAAACAGACTGGTAACAGTTAGAGGAGAATCGTGCTACGAGTCATAAGTAATTGACGAATTCACAACATTCACCGATGCGCGGTATTCGCGCTTGTTCCATTACAAAAGCTACAGCCGAAACGTTTGTGTATCAAACTATCTCTCTCTCTCTCTCTCTTTCTCTCTGTACCGTAGCTACAGACTCGGCTATTTATTACCAAAGTACGTGCTTTTGAAGCATTTAATATTTATCTTGAACTGCGCTCGCAGATGCGCCTAAAAGTCCTCCGGTGTTTGACTCCTGCGAGAAAGTTGGCATGTCGGAACTTGTTATAAAGGATCTTCTTAAAATGCTTCCGCGCAGGAACTCGCGACGAAACTAAGTACGCAAGTAGAATTTTCTAACTACACAGACAAACTTTGCACAATTGCTTTGATGTTGCGACTTACGCATTATGGTTTCCAGATTAATCTCTATCGAGCTCTCATGATATATTCTCACATTAAGAAGCTCCCGTAAACACTGAGAGAAATTGGTGACATCAAACATTTGATTTGCTGCGGGTAGCAAACTTTTTGCTATTGCCAACAAAAGGTTTGCTACTATTGCTAAATTAATTAGCTCTCGCGGCAAACCGGGTGTTTGCTGTCACTATACTGACAAATGATTTGCTAATACAGCAAAAAATTTTTCTCAGTAAAAAAACCCTATTTATTTTTTATGTTTGTCATTTATTTTCATACGATTTTCTCAAGTGAGTACCATTTTATTTGCAATTTGGGATGCTCGTTACTTGCTTCTTCTCATTACAAAACTAAAACTGTCATCACAAATATACAAGTAGGACATTTTTTAATTCGTAATTTTTCGAAATTTGTTTTCCTTGAATAAGATAGTTTCGATTTTTCCCATTTTCTTTTCAACAGGATGTTAGAAATAAAGATATCTATCTCATAGTCAGGACGTTTCCATTCTGCGAAGAAATAACAGAGAAATTCGCGCGACACAATCGTCGATGACGAAGAGACTTACTTCGCGCGACATGCAAAAATAATTCGTTCATAAATTCAAACAGCTTTCAACATATACGATCGTGGCTGCACCTTTACTTGGAATCGAATACTGGGGAATTTGCGGTTCCTCAGGAACCTCGTATTACAAGATGACTTGTACAAACGTTATTTCGATTATCCTCCTCATAACTTAATACAGATTCGACAAGCGTCTCAGTTGAATTGTACAAGGCGTTTCCTAATATTTGCATCATGTCGCTCGGGCTTTCGTTATAATTGCTAATGTTCGACGAACGCGTCTAAACTCGATCGAAGTTCGCGCTATTTGACGAGGAAACGTTTTCGCAACTGCCTTTCATCAATTTTGATAAGTCTCTGATGTGTTTTACAGTAGTTCAAACTCTCGGTTTTTTTAATATGTTTTACGTTTGTATTTGATAAAATATTTTTTGAATATATACACTTTGAAATATTTGCATTAATTTTCAAATTTGCGATATGATTCTTGTTTTGATTATTATTATTACTATTTTACAACGTATCCAAAGATTATCAATGTCGGAGAGAGATCTGCGAGCGTTTCCTTGTGAGTGTATTTGACGCTGTTTCAGGAGAAAGTTTAGCCGAGCTACATCACAGCGGTGCACGACTCGCTCGAGCGGATGTCGCTAGCTCGTCGCTACTCTTCCTGGCCGCCGTTCTAGCCCGATCGGGTGGTCAGGTGCTCAGATGAAGGCTCAACCTAGCTTCCTCGGGCATTACGAGAGTCGCCCGGGTTAGGAAAAGAGCACTTGGTGGCGATGGCAAAGGGACAGTGCTCCACAACGGTGAACGAGACATTATCACCTGTGCGCCGCGCGAACTTTTCTATTATCGTGACGGGAGTGGACACGAGGGCCAAAGAGGGAGTGTGTTACGTTAACATATTACGTTGACATAAGGAACGTATAGGGACGAAACAGAGGCGGTTGGCTGCGTCTCGTCTTGGAACGTTATTCTAAACGCGATATAGATCGCCCGGCATTCGCGAGATTCATGTCGGAGCGTGTCTGTATCGCGAGATAATACCTTCGTCAATTCTCAGCGCAATTTCATTCGAGCGATTGTACACGGAACGTAAATTTTTCACGCGGGATAGACACCTCGGTGAACGGCCGGCTTTTAAGATCTTTTCAACTAGTTAATTCACACGCGAGAGCCGATGGGCATTACACGCTCGTCGATAAGAGTATTATGGATTTAGTTATTGTTTATTCACGATAAGTCGTTCACTGATGTGCTTATCTCATTTTTAGCTCAGCTCGTGTTTGAATTTCGCTCTTCCGCGAAATTCCATTAGGCTTGAATATTTCCGGGCGGACAAGACGCGCGCGTACCGACTAAATTACCGCAAGTATGTATAACATGCTTACCCAGATGCGAAGCAAATTATTCGATCATTGTGAAACGATACGATGATGCTGTTAACATCGATCGTGCCATTCAACGCGCGTTTGATTATTCGATATATATTAGCACTTCGCCAAGTTATTCTAGCGCGGTCGCTCTTTTGCAACAGAAATGACCAAAAAGCTATACAGTAAAATCATAAATCCGCGTATCGAATAACCAATAACCGGTAAACAATAAAGGCTCTGGGCACAAACTGCTAACCGAGCTATTGGAGTGGCTGCTATCGCGTATCACTATGGACTGTGATAATCGAGACAAATTGCGCTGTTCGATTCGGCCTCCATCCATCACTATTCGCACCATTATATTACAAAATTCTCTGCATCCACCGAAGCGTTTTTTAGCGCGGAACGAGTGCGAGGATTCACACGGGACTCGCAAATTTTTCAATTAACAAGATCACGAGCTTCCATCGTTTTATCCAATAATATTATTTTATTATTGATAATTAAAAGGCGTCAAATTTCTCATCGAACGTACAACATCGGTTATCGGTCCACCGGAGGAGACTACCGCCTATCGATAAGGTCTGTTAAATATTTTGAGATTATTTTGATTATTATAATGAATTTCATTGTTAATTATGATAATAATGTAATATGGATACATATATATATTATACACACTGTAAATTAAGTTAATCTATACGATAACTTTTAATGAAAATTGTTAAAGAGAGAATGATTAAAGCTTTCCAATATCGGTGCCCGTTCTTTATGACAGGGTGTTAATGTATGTTTGTATAAATTTGCCAAGATACATTCAGATGCTGTACCTTTAGCTCGCGGCGTATGTAGAAACAAACGCATTTCATATAATTTCGTAATTAAATTCGTGTTTTGTAATTATATTATCTCACACAGCAAAATTTGTGACACAGCTTGTCAGGCCATCATCTGAATGTATGTTGTACAGTGATGAAGGTACGCTTGTCTTTCATGCAGCCAACCAAATCTCCATGCTATGAGAGAATGTGTGTGCGTGAGAGAGAAAGAGAGAGAGAAAGAGAGAGAGAGAGAACGAAAGATTATACGCTATAATATATAAATTTAAGCCGAACCTAACGTTTTATCGTGAGGAAAACGAAATCACGTAATATATGATATGCGTTTTACAAGAACTGACCTTTGTCTCATTTTATGCCTTACAGTGCTGATTTTAGAAACTTAGCCTAGGATAATCATACGTGATCTTTCAGGTAAGTATTACCCTTTGAATAAAATTCATTTTGAAGAGCGCATAGTTCTAATAGTACAAAATTGTTTGAAATTGCACAAAAGTTGTTTTAAAATCCTATTTTCTACCTGAGTTTCATCGCGCAGATTATATATCGAAACCGTTGTCTCGCGAGTTTTACATTTCTTTTTATCAAACTAAAGAATTTACATGACTTATTCGAATCGGCAGATGTATCGAGCGTGATTTGATGTGGATGTACATTGAATCGCTGACGTAAAATCGCGCGAAAAGTTTTGTAAATCGAGCATAGCGAATTAGAATTCCGCACGTACAGCTGACGTTGACGACATCGTCTCTTCTGTATCGCGTGTCTCGTACAAACGAGGCATTTTCTCCCTCATTCGAAGCTTTACTCGATTTCTACGGCAAGCGCGACCTAGAATACATATGTGAGATTTTCATTGATTGGAAAATAAAGGGATATCTTGAACATAACGCTCTATTTGCAACTTTTATGACAATTCTTCAATGAAAATCGATCGTTTCTAGACACTTGAAATTATTTAAATTGTGGTAAATAAAATATATAGCGTATGGTATATTAAGCTTCGCTAAAAAAGAATCATTCGATTTCCTGTGATTAGATGACTATAAAAGTACTATCATTTGGCGACAGATACGCACAGTTCAATTATAAACACATTAAACAATGAAAATAAATACGTGCAACTTTCAGTTTATTAGATTTGAAAATCTTGAGGACTAAAATAAGTTTCACGATTAGACGCTCGAGCCTGGTGTTTCTCTTTCTCGAGAGAGAGAAATATCAGGCGCGCGCAGTGCTTACGTTTTATGAAAAGAAGCTATGACTCAGCCCTTGCCCACATCCAGCTTCGACCAGCTCGTAACAAAGCGGTGCAGTGTTCCGCACAAACGCCGCTTTCACGCCGAGCTGCGATTAAAGGACGAGCGACTGTAAAAATAACATAGTTGAATTCCAGCGTTCGCCGCTATCCTATACCTCGTCCGACCTCGTCCAAAAGATTTAACGAGGGTTCGAGCGTTACTCAAAAACCGGGGACGAGGCTGAGTTCCGCTCCGTCGTTTCGGGGCCAAGACCCATTTCCGGAACGACGTTCCGTTACTTATCGTGTACCGCGCATACACGGTAGAATGGTCGCGCTCTCCGCCTCGCATCGGGAGATTGAAGCCGGTGGGAACTTATCGTCAACCCTGCCGCAAGTGGGATACTCCGCGTGTAACGTGCGGGAATATAGGTACGCGGGAAGTAGCTCGGGCGCGCACCGACAGATTGAACGTGGCTCCATCGATCTTCCCAGTTGGACCTCCAGGAACTCTATTCATCGTGCGCGGTTCGCCGACATCCATGAGATTCTTCGTCTCCACTGGATCTCTTCTGGAGGGTAACTTTTCACGTTCCCTTTCGAAAGCGGGCTCGTTCAAAAGCAGCGCTGCGACATTCGAAAACCTCCCGCGAACGCTATGCGAGTACTGTCGAAAATTCCGCTGGGGTAAATGCGATGACATTCGTCCGCAATGGCAGCCTTATTTTATATTAAATCAAATTATAATATATTATATCTGAATAATATATATGTATATATACATACAATTAATTAGGATAATTAATATTACATTTTTAAAAACCATTTGAAGAAACTAAAGAAGTAGAATCTGAGATTCCTCATTATCAATTGTATCAACTTCTTTTATATTGCCTATTAAGAATTAACATATAAATTATTGATTAAATTAGAGTAAACTCGGATAAAAGATGGCCAACCCATGTTCATTCGATGTTTCATGGCGAGCTAGATTGAAAGAACAGGTTGGTCATCTTTCCTGGTATGGCCATCCGAGTTTACCTTATTATTAACTGCAGTAGTATTTGTCTTCGATAATATGGAAGAGAAATATAGAATATGATAATATGGAAGAGAAATCTTTTTCTCGCTTCCAAGAATCATAATTAAATTTATAATTAAATGTAATCTAGGCAAATTTTAACTTTACAAATCCGACCTGCACAAGGGAGTCAAGGGACGCACTCCGAATTCGGTAAAACACAGGCGGAAAAAATCGATTACGGTTTTATCCGACGCGTTTTGCAACTTTTATCAAATAAGTCTCTTTACTCCAGGGTAAGGTCTCGAAGTAACGCGCGACGTGGGTAACGTTTGTAACTTTTCACGCTCGCTTGCGCCAACGGTGCTTCCGGATTTCCGGGGTCTCATCCAGCACGCGGGGCCGATCTAGCCCGCTAGAGAAAAATATTCAATGCGCAATATCGTCGCTACTCGCGCGACTTGATTCTCATGCATTTTTCACGCGGTACGTGTCTATATACCTTTTAGCACCGTACAAACCAAACGCATAGCGAGCGTTTTATATGGAACATCCAGAAGAATGAATGCGCGCCGAAAGAATGTCGCGAGTTCTTTTCCGAAGCAACTTTTATGTATTTCCGAGTTACGTTCCAGAGCTTCTTCTTCCTCTAACCATGTCACATCTCGCAAGTTAAGTGTATCATTTACTTCTGGGTCTTTTATTTCTCTTTAAAGCGAACGATTGCTTAACGATTTCTCCTAGCGATTATCGAGACGCGCAAAAGCGAATAATAGGCAATTCAACGTCATCTCGCTTTGACCTATAATTATGAACGGGCATCTAAACTAACTTTAGAATGATCGCGTGCCTGTCTATTCTTCACACTTCTAATCAAGCTCTGCGTGTTGCATGCTCACGTCTAGTGCATCAACAGACACGAGCTGGAGCTATAAGACAATCTCATGGGTATCTTCTTTACGTGCATGAACCATAAAAGAGATGAAAATATGGATTTTTAATTTTACTAGACACATAAAGTTTCAAAACAAAATTAACAGAGATATATATAATGCTAATAAAATATATAAACGGGCTGCTATTAAATAAAATTGAATAAAAGATATAATAAAGCTTTCATGTTAAACTAGTTATAATTTATTATTGTACATCAACAACTTGTAATATATCTATAAATACAGCAATTAATGAAATTCTAAAGGACGATATGCAATAACATGCATGATAAACGAGCTACAAAATTATTTTGCATTCCGCGTCAGATGACAATATTTCGGCGCTTTGGATGCTGCAAAACGAGTTATTTGAAATATAATAACAACATTGTACGGCGACATAATGGAATTACGATTAATGTGTCTTTATAAATTTTTATATACGAGCGGATATCGGCCGTACGCTCGGAGCGTTTTAGCAATGGATGCGGAAAACATGCAACTTTACGAGGCGACGCTCAGCCTCGGCAGGGAGGAACAAAATTTATGAATCCCTCCGGTTCTTAAAGAATTGACGACAAAGAAGCATATTGCTAGCAAAATGCAATATCGAAGTTTTAAAGTCGGCGCGAGACGGCAACGTTTGCTTCTACGTAGTACAAACAGCAGTAAAATAAGCAGCATCGGAATTGAAGAAAATTAGCTAGAGCTACCGCAAACATGCATGAAAAGTAATTTCCGATAATGGTAAAATGAATTTTGTATGACTTGTAATGAAAATATGTGGTGCATATAATAAAATAACTCTTTACTGTACATTTTGTAATGCTATCGCAATGTTGAAATTTTTTCATATACATTTTAATAATCTCCCATATATTCCATATTCTACCATTGATTACAAATTATGAAATATTTATTCATTTTCTCTCTATTTCCTGAAAATACACTTATATCCATCACGCAAATGTCGCAATAATTATTTGTACATACATTAATTGAGAGCGAGCTTTAACGCAATTGGATATATAAATATACACGAATAATAATTTAATGTGCAAGAAGGCGAGTTTGCATATTATAATGTAAAATTATACCTAGAGCAATTAGTTTCGTAAAACGCAGTCGCCTAAAGTTCTGAAATAGCTAGTACGCAAACGTTTGTAAATTTTTTTTTTTTTTTAGTGCAATGTAAAGGTTAACGCTGGATGAGCACAAAATTCGATCTATTAAACAAAGTAAAAATTTTAACGAACAATTTTGCCTGCGTCCTACATCCCACCACTTTTATACACGCGGTTATAGGTTGGGAAATAACACTAAATAAACCAGTCGTCCTTTTTGAGCTTAAAACAGCTTTCACATGCAAAGCAAGTAGAAATTTTATTCTCCACACACAACGTGTTGAGGTAAGTGCGCGGTCGTTGTCTTTAATCTGTCACGGACTGTGGTTGCCGAATTATCATCTTTTCACAAGGATGCGACACGAGGATTTCAGAAATTCCGTGTTTTTACATTCGCGCGCAGAAAAATCTGCTGGCAACAATTCTGAAAAATGATTTACACTCCACTTATACATTCCCATTTGTAGGATTCGAACGTGATTTGCTTTAAATTACAGATATTTCTTTCATCGCTATGTAAAAACAGAAAAGCGGGGAATTTACGTCCCCGTGTAATTTGAAACGAAAGTGTAATTGTGATCGTAAATGGGAATTGCCGTTTAATGGAGATTTCTTAATTTTAATTCGCCTACGCGAGCCTACGAGAAAGGATGAAATACGAAAGCGCGAAGAAGATGTTCTCTCGCCAGGAGCGCGCTGCTATTCCATCCTTGGCCTGGAAGGTGTGAAGGTGTGCAAACTCACACCAGCCGACGTTATATCGTCGAGAGGAGAGCCACTCCCGTGGGAGCTGGCCGCGGCAAGATAGGGCGTCGCCGTCGGTGTCGGCGTTATAAATCGCCGCGATTTCATCCCGCCCGCGCGTTGTATATGTCCGGAATGCATCTAACCGCGGCGGTCCCGCTCACGTGTTACCCACGTTTTCGGGTTTTGCTCCCGACTCTCTAGAGCGGGGAACCGGGAATTATTAAAGAGAGAGTAACACGGTAAAGTGCGCACCCCGATGTGACCCAATT